AACGAGAGGAGCCGGTTGGAAAAGTTAGTCTTCAGACAACCACTATCAAGCCACAGGATGAAGAAGACGGAATTCAGTTGTTTAAAATTATTTACACAAAAATTTAAATAAAACAAATATACTATTGCCCAAATGTGCCCCACCTCTGTCCAAATCTACCCGATGGAGTAAGCATACATAAAGAAATATTTTTTTTGCTTTATACTTATATGTATTTTTATTCATTTTTAATAATTTTTAATAATTAATTTTTAATAATTTTTAATAATTAATTTTTAATAATTTTTAATAATTAATTTTTAATAATTTTTAATAATTTTTAATAATTTTTAATAATTTTTAATAATTTTTAATAATTTTTAATAATTTTTAATAATTTTTAATAATTTTTAATAATTTTTAATAATTTTTAATAATTTTTAATAATTTTTAATAATTTTTAATAATTTTTAATAATTTTTAATAATTTTTAATAATTTTTAATAATTTTTAATAATTTTTAATAATTTTTAATAATTTTTAATAATTTTTAATAATTTTTAATAATTTTTAATAATTTTTAATAATTTTTAATAATTTTTAATAATTTTTAATAATTTTTAATAATTTTTAATAATTTTTAATAATTTTTAATAATTTTTAATAATTTTTAATAATTTTTAATAATTTTTAATAATTTTTAATAATTTTTAATAATTTTTAATAATTTTTAATAATTTTTAATAATTTTTAATAATTTTTAATAATTTTTAATAATTTTTAATAATTTTTATTTATTTTTATTTATTTTTATTTATTTTTATTTATTTTTATTTATTTTTATTTATTTTTATTTATTTTTATTTATTTTTATTTATTTTTATTTATTTTTATTTATTTTTATTTATTTTTATTTATTTTTATTTATTTTTATTTATTTTTATTTATTTTTATTTATTTTTATTTATTTTTATTTATTTTTATTTATTTTTATTTATTTTTATTTATTTTTATTTATTTTTATTTATTTTTATTTATTTTTATTTATTTTTATTTATTTTTATTTATTTTTATTTATTTTTATTTATTTTTATTTATTTTTATTTATTTTTATTTATTTTTATTTATTTTTATTTATTTTTATTTATTTTTATTTATTTTTATTTATTTTTATTTATTTTTATTTATTTTTATTTATTTTTATTTATTTTTATTTATTTTTATTTATTTTTATTTATTTTTATTTATTTTTATTTATTTTTATTTATTTTTATTTATTTTTATTTATTTTTATTTATTTTTATTTATTTTTATTTATTTTTATTTATTTTTATTTATTTTTATTTATTTTTATTTATTTTTATTTATTTTTATTTATTTTTATTTATTTTTATTTATTTTTATTTATTTTTATTTATTTTTATTTATTTTTATTTATTTTTATTTATTTTTATTTATTTTTATTTATTTTTATTTATTTTTATTTATTTTTATTTATTTTTATTTATTTTTATTTATTTTTATTTATTTTTATTTATTTTTATTTATTTTTATTTATTTTTATTTAATTTATTTTTATTTATTTTTATTTATTTTTATTTATTTTTATTTATTTTTATTTATTTTTATTTATTTTTATTTATTTTTATTTATTTTTATTTATTTTTATTTATTTTTATTTATTTTTATTTATTTTTATTTATTTTTATTTATTTTTATTTATTTTTATTTATTTTTATTTATTTTTATTTATTTTTATTTATTTTTATTTATTTTTATTTATTTTTATTTATTTTTATTTATTTTTATTTATTTTTATTTATTTTTATTTATTTTTATTTATTTTTATTTATTTTTATTTATTTTTATTTATTTTTATTTATTTTTATTTATTTTTATTTATTTTTATTTATTTTTATTTATTTTTATTTATTTTTATTTATTTTTATTTATTTTTATTTATTTTTATTTATTTTTATTTATTTTTATTTATTTTTATTTATTTTTATTTATTTTTATTTATTTTTATTTATTTTTATTTATTTTTATTTATTTTTATTTATTTTTATTTATTTTTATTTATTTTTATTTATTTTTATTTATTTTTATTTATTTTTATTTATTTTTATTTATTTTTATTTATTTTTATTTATTTTTATTTATTTTTATTTATTTTTATTTATTTTTATTTATTTTTATTTATTTTTATTTATTTTTATTTATTTTTATTTATTTTTATTTATTTTTATTTATTTTTATTTATTTTTATTTATTTTTATTTTTTTTTATTTATTTTTATTTATTTTTATTTATTTTTATTTATTTTTATTTATTTTTATTTATTTTTATTTATTTTTATTTATTTTTATTTATTTTTATTTATTTTTATTTATTTTTATTTATTTTTATTTATTTTTATTTATTTTTATTTATTTTTATTTATTTTTATTTATTTTTATTTATTTTTATTTATTTTTATTTATTTTTATTTATTTTTATTTATTTTTATTTATTTTTATTTATTTTTATTTATTTTTATTTATTTTTATTTATTTTTATTTATTTTTATTTATTTTTATTTATTTTTATTTATTTTTATTTATTTTTATTTATTTTTATTTATTTTTATTTATTTTTATTTATTTTTATTTATTTTTATTTATTTTTATTTGTTTTTATTTATTATTGATTTTTAAGATACTTCCCATTCCCCATGTCCTTCCTTGAAATACGTCATTTTTTACATATGATGAGTAGCTACTCCAATTTTCAAGTTCCTACCTTTAAAAAATATCGATTCTTCCATATTCCCTTGAAACACGACATTATTTATTTATTTATGCTTGGTTCAAATTTTCATGTTTCACTACCACTATGCAAAAAATCATGTCAGGATAGCTATTCACTAAGTCATGGGAGCGCTCCCATGGGAGTGCTCCCATATATTTTGCTCTTACTCTTAGGTGGGTATATCGTGCTTACTCATTTTTAGCCCAGGTACATGCGTAGTAAGGTCAGATTTTATACTATGGGAGGGAGAATTGCGGGCTTGCCAGATTAGATCCGTATTTATCACAAAGCAAATTTGAACTACTAAGCGCCGATTCCACCGTTGAGTTAAACGGAAATTAAAATGACATTGTTAAGTAAAAATGTCATTTTAAACTTCGTTTAACACAACGGTGGATCGGTCCTTAAATAGTAGATCAAAGTTATTCTGTCGACTTGGAAACGTTGGCATGGGAGTATGGGAGCATGGGAGTGTGGGAGTGCTCCCATGAGTTAGAGAATAGGTATCCTGATCACCTTGCTCTATGAAAAACAAAAACAAATCTATCCCACGGGAACTGTATATTTTTCCGGGATAAAAAGTAGCCTATATGCTATTCCAGACTATAATCTATCTCTGTGCCAAATTTCAAATTTCATCTAGTCGTTCTGGCGTGATTGAGCAACAAACATCCATATTTATACAGTAGTAGTAGTAGTAGTAGTAGTAGTAGTAGTAGTAGTAGAATTGAAGATATTAACAAAATTGTTAAATAATCCTGTATCTTGGTAATAAAGTATTAGAGACTTATTTAATATAGTTTAATAATATTTCCAAATGAATTGCCTTGTTTAATGATTTTTTTCTAATTTTGACATATAAATTAACATTTTTTGTAATCTCAGCAAGTGTCAAAATGATCTACTTTACGCAACCAGTTGCATAATGTTGAACATTGTGAAACTGGTTTCGAAAAATTTATTGTGTCACCAGTTGCAAAAAAAAAGCAAATAAAAATAAACCTTTTTTGGTTTTAATATACATTATTGAAATTTTTAATCAAAGAAGGGCAGGTTGAAAATAGAATTTGTTAAACTTACGACCAAGTAATAATTTTGTTTTTGTCCTTATTTCATTATCCATTCTAAATCAGCACAAAATAATTCAAACAAAATAGACGATAAAATAACCCACTTTTTTAGAAAAACTAAATAACTTTAATAAACCATGTAATAAAATGATGCATATGCAACTAACAATACAAGAAAGTAGTACTATTGGTTGCGTAGATGTCAGTATTAATAATAATCTAGTCAAAATTAGAAAAAATATTTTATGTAACACGTTACGAAATGCCGCTTTATGTAACTGGTTCATCTTGTAGGGCCTCGCTCTGCTCGTCCCGCAAATATTTACTCGTTACATACAAAAAGGCATTTCGTAACTGGTTTCATAAATAACTATTTCATTTATTTATTTTTTTATTTTATTTATTTTAAAGCAAGTAATACCGAAAAATAGAACATTGTAACAAGAACATATTATATAAATTTTAATTTAAATATTTTTATCGCCAACTGTCAATAAAGCCATCCATTACCATAGCGATTTGCGGAAGTAAACTAACACTTTTTCTCACTATAAAAATCAAATATTTTATCTGCTGCTAATTTTTATCAACATAGCCATGGGCCGTCTGACAGAAATAGTCTGTAACTGCTTTATATTCGCTGTTATTTTTCTGTTTGTTTACTTTGTCATAATAAAATGATATTATAATATCTACTTTTTTATGGTTTATAATTATTTACGGTTGGCGATAAAAGTTTTTAGGAGCCACGTCAGCAGTGTCTTTATCGAACTCGCCTGTTACTCGCCTAGCTCGCTTCTCTCGCTCGGCTTATAATCTCAGATTAGTTCGATAAAGACTCACTTTGCTGACTTGGTACATAAATAACTATTTCATGTTTTTAACTTTTTTTATGAGAACATAAATTTCTTCTCTTGGAGTCTGAGGTATTATAGATTTTAATTTAGTTTTAAATTTTATTAATGAGTTAAGACAATTGAAATGAACTAGTATTATTTTGGAATAAAAACAGTTCATCAAAACGATTTTTAAGTAATCCTACAGAGCTAAATAAAAAAAGATAAAAACAGGTACTGACATTTGAATAAATTAATTCTGGTTTAGATAAAGACATGAAACCTACGATTGGTCCGAATAACAAAAAATAAACTTGGTACTTACATCGCAAGCATATCTCCTGTCATTAGTATGTATCAATCGATGTTGATAATAAACAGAACCAGTCAAAAAACATTTGTCACAAACATTACATTTAAATGGCCTTTCTCGTGTATGAGCTTTTCTAATATGGTCCTTCAAATCTGGTCTTATGGTGTATCTAGCTTCGCAGCCTTCGTGAGGACATGCAAACGGTTTTATTCCTTAAATATAAAAATCAAAAAACGTAAAATGGATGATACAAAAACTTTGGCACATCGTAGATTAATTACATTTTGTTATTATGTCAGGTGGCAGTCATCAAAATAATTTTGAATTTGTCAATTTGTTGAAAATTTCTATATTTGGATATTTCAAAAGTTTTTATAAGTATTCAACAAAATCGTGAAACGATTTAGTGATCAATCAAAACTTTAATCACAAACGTAGTTTCCTATTTTAAGAGACACAAATCTATTTGCGAGGCTCTTGAAAAGAGGTACAATCAAATGGCTACAGAGACATTAAATATTTCGCAGAAAACTATCTATAGACTTAGTATACTAACAAATTCTGATACGGAGTATGTGATAATAATGTCTAAAAAAGTAAGCCAAAGTAAAACAAAAGTAATTTCTTTAATATTAAGTAAGTTGAGGCAAGTTATATATAAGATGTATGAAGGTGTGCAACATGTAACAATGAAATCGTTATATAAACGATTTTTGGAAGAAATGCCTGATGTGAAAAGTTCTGTATGGTCAATTAATACATGAAATCGAATTGGCTTTCGTTTTAAAAGAAGTAACAACAGACCGTTTTTATTGGAACGACATCGATTCAGTTTTTGAAAAATTTTAACAAGGAGATAGAGCTGGGTAACTTTAAGCCTGTATTTATGGATGAGACGTAGGTTATATACCTACGTCTCTACCTTTCTATATGAAAGGGAAATGACAGAAAAAGTTGGCAAGATAAAACGATGGCTACTGCAAGTAAAAAAATAGCAGATGGAATTCGATACATAATTGTCCATGGTGGCAATAAAGAAGGGTTTATAAAAGATGCAGACCTCATATTTAAAAGTCAAACAAAAACCTGGGATTACCATAATAATATGAAAACAGAAAATTTTGAAAAATGGTTTAAGTCGAAATTTATACCTAGTCTGGAACATCCTTCTTTGATTATAATCGATAATGCTAGTTATCATTCACGGAACGTGGAACCAATTCCATGTTATAGTTGGCCAAAAGATAAAATGGAAAAATGGTTGCAGGAAAAGAACATTAATTATCCAATCAATGATATGAAATATCAGATTTGGGAAGTTGTACGTCAGAATCTACCGTCAAAATAATTCCACCTAGATAGGTATGTTGAGGAATAAGGGCATACAATATTAAGAACTCCTCCATATCACTGCCTGTACAATGCGATAGAGATGGTGTGATCACAGTGCAAACGATTTTATGACGAAAAACTTTTAACAACAAAGTTGTCACCGCAAGATGTATTTCAGACTTGGTCAGAAGCTTTGAATAATGTTACCAATACTCAGTGGGACAATTATGTAAGACACACTAAAAACATAATCGTTTCTAATTGGGAAAAATTCAAGCAATGAGATGTTTCTGATCTAGAACCAATTATTATTAATTTAGGTACAACGGCAAGTAATGATGAGTCTGAATCAGAGTCTAGTTCTAAAGAAAATTATTTGGATTAAAAAAATTTATGAGTTATTCAATAAATATATTCTGCGTCTCTTAATTTTTTTTAAAAGAACTTCTTGTATTCGTGTAAACGCACTTTAATAAAGTTTACGCTGCTAAGCAACAACTAAACGCAACTGAAATAAGAAGACACGTGCAAACTGTAATTAAAAATGCAATACTGTTTTGTCAGAGGACTTGGGGTATTTCTATCACCTTAGCCATATGTGAGTATACGGAATTAAATAGGAAAGTGGTAGAAAAAAGTTATTTTCTCTCTCGCAAAGTTTTTTACCTTCGCAAATAAAGATCACGAATCACAATCAGTATTTATTAATTAGGTAATTCGAGGATCTAGTTGTTATGATATTGGAATGGCAATCCAGAGGTCGCGGATTCAAGCCCCGCCTGGAGCCCAATTTTTATTTGGTTTGTTATCCTTCTGGATTCAGGAATGTATTCCTGAATTCTTTCTCTTGTATTTGTTTCGGCAATTTAAACCTTCAGTTTATTTCTTCATTTCATACTCAATGCGTTTACAGCGCTTTCCATTACCATTTAACTTAACACTGTTCGATGATACGAGGGATTAAATGTATGTTGGGATGTACCTTCGACGTTACCATATTATTGACAGAGAATTATTGGAAAAAGATATGATAAACCGAGTCGGGATCGAATACTCTACTCAATTTAACGACTAGGTAACTGGTGGTCTATATACGTAGTTGTTATGGTATTGGAACGGCAACCCAGAGAGCTCGGGTTCGAGCCCCGCCCGGAGCATAATTTTTTCAATTTCAATTTTAAATTATTTTTATGAGCCAGAAAGTGTTTTTTTCTACCACCTTCCTACTTAAGAAAAATAATTGCTTCAAATTAGGGTAGAAACTACCCTCTAATTTTAAAAAAGAATATCGCAGCCTTCTAAAGTAAATTACAGTTACAAGAGTGCATCAAAACTAAATTTAGAGTTTGAAGCCGAATTCACTGACCATCATCTTCCAATATAAACTAAACTTCATACATTTACATCTCGTCTATTTATTCTTTGATCAACCAAGTACTGAATGACCAGATGTGAGTACCCTATGCTTTTGCAACAGGCTTTAGAAACGCTGGCCCCACATATTTGTAGGCTCTACAGGGCAAGTTTGGTGCATAAACATGTACCAAATACCTGGAAACAAAGCATAGTTGTCTTTATACCTACACCGGGGCGTCCAACGTATGCCGTGGCAAAGGCCTATAGACCAATAACTCTGACGTCATTTCTATTGAAAGGATTGGAAAAACTGATTCATCAGCATGTCCGGCAAATCACTCTTATAGAGAGGCAATTTCATACAAACCAACATGCCTATCAATCAGGAAAATCTTGTGAGTCTGCTCTGCATCATCTTGTAACCAAGATAGAGGGAGGACTCAGTAACCAAGAAATAGTCCTAGGAGCATTTCTTGACATAGAAGGAGCTTTTGATAATACCTCCTCTAAATCAATGGTAGCTGCCGCTCGCAAACATGGAATAGAAGACACCATCTACTGGTGGATAGAAGACATGTTATGCGGATGGCAAATACAGGCACAAATATTCAGTGAAACCATGCAGGTGAATATCCACAGGGGATACCCACAGGGTGGAGTCCTTTCTCCTCTATTGTGGAACCTAGTGGCAGATGAACTGCTGAAAACACTAAACAATCAAGGGCTGTACACCCAAGGATATGCCGATGACATAGTCATCCTTATCCGAGGGAAACACCAAACCACAGTCTTTGAACTCAGGCAAAGAGCTCTTAGGCTGACAGAAATATGGTGCGTTAGGGAAAACCTCTTGGTAAACCCTGACAAGGCACAACTCATAACCTTTACTCGGAAAACAAGATTGGAGGTTTTAGAAACTCCGACTCTGTTTGGAGAAAGGCTAAACAAAACAAACCAAGTAAAATATCTGGGTCTGATCCTAGATAGCAAACTAACTTGGAACCAACACTTACAAAAAGTGACCAACAAATGTAAAATGTCTCTCATAGTAGGAAGACGGGCATTTGGAAAAACATAGGGATTAAAACCAAAAATGGTCCACTGGCTATATTTGGCAATAATAAGACTCATGATAACTTATGGAGCGGTTGTTTGGTGGCCAAAAGTAAACCAGAAAACAGCCCTCAATACCCTCTCAGGAGTACAGAGGCTGGCATGCCTTTGTATTACAGGAGCACTGAGAAGTACACCAACAGCCTTTATGGAAATCATTCTAAACCTCCCACCCCTTGACCTAGTCATAAAGGGGGAGGCCAGAATGAGTGCATAGAGACTGGAAATCTCCAACAACTGGAACCCACTGGGATATATCAAACATACCAGAATAACACATGAAGTAAATGATTCTAAAGGGTGTCCCAATTAAAACTTGAATTTTGAATCGCGCGCCATTTCCATCTGTCAGACATCAAGTGGGCCATACTAGGCATGTGTTCTGTCAAAACATTGACATTAACGAAAATGCCGCGTTACACTCTTGAAGAACGTTTATTAATTGTGAAGACCCATTACAGAAATGGAAGAAATTTTACAGTGACAATGCGCAGGTTACGTGAATATTTCGGTGTACATAATCGTCCGTCGCGACCCGCTATTGAAAATTTGATCAACAAATTTGAGCGGACGTTTGCATTCAAAGAGGAGACAAGTGTTAGGCGTCGTCATCCTGGAAGGTCTGCTGAAAACATCGCCGCCGCGAGAGCCAGTGTAAACGAACATCCAAACACTTCCATCCGACATCGCGGCCAGGAATTAAATATCAGTGGCAGTACATTAGAACGAATTTTGACAAAGGATTTGCATCTACATCCTTACAAAATACAGTTGACGCAAGAGCTGAAGCCAGCCGATCATAGACAGCGCAGAAACTTTGCGAATTGGATATTGGAACAACACGGAGTTGACGATGCATTCTTTAGCGATCTTTAGTGATGAGGCTTTGTGAATAAACAGAACTGTCGGATTTGGTGGGAAGAGCTTCCACATGCCGTGCACGAGCTTCCAATGTATCCTGAAAAAGTGACAGTTTGGTGCGCCATTTGGATAGGAGGGATCATCAGACCTTATTTTTTTCAAAATAATGAAGGTGTTTGTAAATGGTGATCGCTACCGTAGCATGCTGAGAGACTTTCTTTGGCTGGAAGTGAAAGGAATGGACATAAATAACTTGTGGTTTCAACAGGACGACGCGACCTGCCACACCGCACGCGAAACAATGGCGTTACTGCAAACAAACTTCCCAAGTCGTGACATCTCTCGATTTGAAGACCAAAACTGGCCGCCGAGAAGTTGCGATTTGACGCTCTTAGACTATTTTCTCTGGGGGTATTTAAAAAGTAGAGTATATGGGAACCAACCTGAAACGATTCGACAACTAAAGGAAGAAATCGAACGTAATATTCGTGAAATCCACCCGATTTTGCTCGAAAACGTCTTCCAAAATTTCGTCAAACGAATATACACC